TGATACTATGAAAAGGATGGGGTATGGCGATATTTTTGTTCATGTGTATAGATCAATAAGTACAGTGAATAGATTATTATGGTGCATGGAGCAATCATCATGGTACATGGATCAATTGTTATAGAGTATCGATCAATTACCATAGCCAATGAATTAATTATTAAAGGTTATAGATCAATTACCCAGGGTGCACGGTTCAAGCATTATTGTGCAGATCAATCATTACTGTACGTGGATCAATGCAGCATGACTTGATTGTCTCAATACTGATTATTGATTGTTTGTGTATCATTCCTTCTGTAACCCAAAACAATACACTCGTGAACATCCGGGTTAGAATTGATCTTCAGTAACCCAGGCTTGTCGTAACAGGCAACTAACAGGATCGGATGGTCAGGCTCACTGACTTGGTTGACAGATGTCATCGGTTCCCATTTGCGTAGATCGATGCTCATGCTGTTGATCACTTGATTGTTCACAGACCGCCGTCATATAGCTGGAATATTGCTGAGTGCGGTGTTAAACAACAAACTAAACTGAACTAAAATTTGGCAGAAAGATACAATTTGGATTATTTAAAAAATATTAATTCAGTTCCACCTGAGAAGTTCCATCTATATGCAGTGTACATGGGTGTGCCAGCGTCTGGGGGTCGTGATGTGGTCCGTTACTGCAATATGTTATCCTTCTCATAACTTATTGAAAGTGACCTTTGGGAATATATATTGTCAAACAGTAAACGCATTGTTCAAGTCATTTTCTGAATGCGTGCTTGTACACTCGTATGATCACATTGATATTAAATAAGACCAATAGTGCAGTTGATTATTTAGATCAATATGAGATTGATATATCGTTGTCAGATTCCTTTTAAGTCTTCTTAATCGTGTTCCTTGTCAGATGTGAGGGAGTGAGTCTGATTTAGGGACGTTTTTATTTGTCTGTTGAATGTATCTCAGCTTTTCAGCTTTCTCAGATTAAAAGCCCGATGTGATTGTTTAATTGTTTGCTCTTTGTGTAACGATGAATTCGACAATCTTCAAACCAGACAACAGCCTGTAAATTATCGAGTCTTGACCGAACAATCCAGTGATTTACACCATGAGCGAGTACCCACGCTGTTGGCGAATGATAATATGCAGCCATCCAATCCACAAAGCCTGACAACCCGCACTACTAAGTAGCCTTTCACCAGAAGCACATTTTGCTGTGAAAAAAATCTTGGCATCATGTTGTGCAATGTTTTGAAAAATGAACAGCTTATACAGAATATCTTCTAGAGTTCGGAACGAAAGTGTCCAACGAGATGTGTTACCCGTATGTGTTAAGATAATCCGATACAACAGGTAAATATGATTGATAATCCACGTGATACGGATACCCTTGTAAGGTAAATCCCCGACATATAACACGGTAGGTAGTTGATATCAGTAGTTAGGCCACGACATGCGATATGTCCCCGGTCCTCCTCCCAATTTGGAATGGGACAGATGGATAAGTGTAAGCTAACCCACAGGTGTATGTACCCTGGTACAGGGGATACACGGGGTAGCTTATGGCATTACACCATCACTGCTAACTGTCAGTAAGTAGAATATGAATGTGTCACAGATATTTTATTTTCATTTACTCTGACACATCGAAACATCATAACTTTATAGCAAAACCTACAATCTGTGAAAGATATATATTTTATACTTGGCAGTTGCAGATACTCGCGCAGTTGCAGATATTATGCACACACACATATGTTTTGCACAAACACCCTATCCACCACACACACACCCTATCCACACCACACACGCCCTGTCAATAATTTGGGGGATATGTTTTGTTCTGAAACAGCCCACATGTCTTGTTCTGGAACAGCCAGCTCACAATAATACACGCACACACATATATAATTAAGTCATATTAAGTGACATGTTCACGTCAAAGAAAACTATGTTTTGTTCTGGAACAGCCCTATCCAGTAATTTGGTCAATATGTTTTATTCTGAAACAGCCCTATCCAATAATTTGTGGGATATGTTTTGTTCTGAAACAGCCAGGTCCAATAATTTGTGGAATATGTTTTGTTCTGAAACAGCCCTGTCCAATAATTTGGAATATGTTTTGTTCTGATCCATAATTTTGTTCTGTTCTGGAACAGCCAGGTCCAATAATTTGGAATATGTTTTCTTCTGGGGAAATATGTATGTTTTGTTCTGGAACAGCCCTGTCCAATAATTTTGGAATGGAATATGTTTTGTTCTGGGAAACAAAATTTGGTTGATATGCCTGGAACAGCCCTGTCCAATAATTTGTGGAATATGTTTTGTTCTGGATATAATTTGTTCTGGAACAGCCAGGTCCAATAATTTGTGTGAATATGTTTTGTTCTGGAACAGCCCTATCCAATAATTTGGTTGATATGTTTTGTTCTGGAACAGCCAGGTCCAATAATTTGTGAAATATGTTTTGTTCTGGAACAGCCCTATCCAATAATTTAGGGGATATATTTTGTTCTGGAACAGCCCTGTCCAATATTTTGGTTGATATGTTTTGTTCTGTAACAGCCCTGTCCAATATATTTGGAATGGAATATGTTTTGTTCTGGAACAGCCAGGTCCAATAATTTGTTGAATATGTTTTGTTCTGGAACAGACGGCCCTATCCAATAATTTAGGGGATATGTTTTGTTCTGGAACAGCCCTGTCCAATATAAATATGTTTTGTGGAATATGTTTTGTTGTTTGGAACAGCCCTGTCCAATAATTTGGTGGATATGTTTTGTTCTGGAACAGCCAGTCTAATCATTTAGTTGATATGTTTTGTTCTGGAACAATCCAATTTTTGGTTGATATGTTTTGTTCTGGAACAGCCCTGTCCAATATATTGTGGAATATGTTTTGTTCTGGAACAGCCATGTCCAATAATTTGTGGAATATGTTTTGTTCTGGAACAGCCAGGTCCAATAATTTGGTGAATATGTTTGTTCTGGAACAACCAGGTCCAATAATTTGTTGATATGTTTTGTTCTGGAACAGCCAGGTCCAATAATTTGGTGAAATATGTTTTGTTCTGGAACAGCCCTATCCAATAATTTAGGGGATATATTTTGTTCTGGAACAGCCCTGTCCAATATTTTGGTTGATATGTTTTGTTCTGGAACAGCCCTGTCCAATATATTGTGGAATATGTTTTGTTCTGGAACAGCCAGGTCCAATAATTTGGTGAACATGTTTTATTCTGGAACAGCCCTGTCCAATAATTTGTGGAATATGTTTTGTTCTGGAACAGCCAGGTCCAATAATTTGGTGAACATGTTTTGTTCTGGAACAGCCAGGTCCAATAATTTGTGGAATATGTTTTGTTCTGGAACAGCCCTGTCCAATAATTTAGGAGGATATGTTTTGTTCTGGAACAGCCCTGTCCAATAATTTGTTGAATATGTTTTGTTCTGGAACAGCCAGGTCCAATATTTTGTTGATATGTTTTGTTCTGGAACAGCCAGGTCCAATAATTTGTGAAATATGTTTTGTTCTGGAACAGCCCTGTCCAATAATTTAGGGGATATATTTTGTTCTGGAACAGCCCTGTCCAATATTTTGGTTGATATGTTTTGTTCTGGAACAGCCCTGTCCAATATATTGTGGAATATGTTTTGTTCTGGAACAGCCAGGTGCAATATTTGGTTTTGTTCTGGAACAGCCCTGTCCAATAATTTGTGGAATATGTTTTGTTCTGGAACAGCCAGGTCCAATAATTTGGTGAACATGTTTTGTTCTGGGACAGCCAGGTCCAATAATTTGTGGAATATGTTTTGTTCTGGAACAGCCCTGTCCAATAATTTAGGGATATGTTTTGTTCTGGAACAGCCAGGTCCAATAATTTGTGGAACATGTTTTGTTCTGGAACAGCCGTCCAATCTAATCATTTAGGGTGTCTTGTGGAATCATTTAGGGGATAAGTTTTGTTCTGGAACAGCCCTGTCCAATATTTTGGTTGATATGTTTCGTTCTGGAACAGCCCTGTCCAATATATTGTGGAATATGTTTTGTTCTGGAACAGCCAGGTCCAATAATTTGGTGAACATGTTTTATTCTGGAACAGCCCTGTCCAATAATTTGTGAAATATGTTTTGTTCTGGAACAGCCCTGTCCAATAATTTAGTGGATATGTTTTGTTCTGGAACAGCCAGGTCCAATAATTTGTGGAATATGTTTTGTTCTGGAACAGCCATGTCCAATATTTTGGTTGATATGTTTCGTTCTGGAACAGCCCTGTCCAATATATTGTGGAATATGTTTTGTTCTGGAACAGCCAGGTCCAATAATTTGGTGAACATGTTTTATTCTGGAACAGCCCTGTCCAATAATTTGTGGAATATGTTTTGTTCTGGAACAGCCAGGTCCAATAATTTGGTGAACATGTTTTGTTCTGGGACAGCCAGGTCCAATAATTTGTGGAATATGTTTTGTTCTGGAACAGCCCTGTCCAATAATTTATGGAATATGTTTTGTTCTGGAACAGCCAAGTCCAATAATTTGGTGAACATGTTTTGTTCTGAAACAGTCCTATCCAATGGTTTGGCCAACGTATTGATAGCATGGAAAACAGTGATTAAGTGGATGAAAACGGTGATTCTTTGCATCAAAAATGGTGATTGATAGCATAAAAACGGAGATTGATAGCATGAAAAACGGTGATTAATACTATGATGTACGGTGATTGATGGTATGAAAAACGGTGGTTGATAGCATGGAAAACGTTGATTAAGTGGATGAAAACGGAGATAGATAGCGTGAAAAAGGGTGATTGATAGTATGAAAACAAACCCTTTCACCTGTATGCTACGTCCTTGCCTTTACAACGATGTGAGAACCGTGGATTAGACGAGTTCAGCCAAATTGAAAAGAGGATCAAAATGCAGTTACCTGATTTTGGCGGAACCTTGCTTATTAAGACATTGTTAATATGGAAGGGTTCAGTGGGCAATTAAAACTGGGGACGTCAGAATGTCAACGTCAGAGAATAACGACGTTCCCGTCAATACAGATTCTATGAGGGGGAACTGGGGAAATAAAAGTGAACGTTATGTGACTGGATCACTCAAACTCAACGACACCCGGTGTTTGAGAAAATGGTAAGCAAGTCCTACCCTACAGGTAGCACCCGTCACTCACACTATATGGATTAAGTTTGTTTTATACCTAAGAAGTGTATTTTAAACCATGTGCAATGCGGACACTGGCTAAATTGGACAATATTTGTGGATTTCCGTATTTTTAAGACATCAGAGAATTGGTGACAAGGTTCAAACCTCCCATCCTCTAAATAAACAACCCTGCCAACAGCGCACCACGATACCTTGTATTAAGTTACAGTATTCATCAATGCTGGTGTCCACCCGCAAAACAGCTCCCCCTGTCGAATACATACAACACGGCCTTGAAGCAGACAGGGTAACTGCTTTCAAACACCAGCGACACCTAACCCAGCGATCGAGCGTCACACAAAGTATCTATTTAGTTTGGACATCTCGACTTTAATGATCGCCTATCATCGTATATGTCAGGTCGATTGTATGAAAGCGGCATAATACAACCACTTATGGACCCAAAGCCCCACCCATACTTGCAATCTCCCTCATGGGGCGTCGTGGGGCTGTGAGGCGCTTGAGGGCCACTTGTGCTTGTCATGTGCTGAAGTTGGTCCCTCGACTGGAGATGTTTGAACTCAGTGTTTAGACAGACAACCCACTTAAGCTAAACGTTTCTTATATCTACATTGTTGAACGTCTGGCGTTAGAATTACACGGTAAATTAAACACTAAACGCCAAGCTGAAACACCTGTAGCTTGTATCATTCCGAGTCACAGGCAAGACCGACTGATTGTTCCACACCTGCGTGTTTCGATGGAGAGTCAAATATTACAAGGACCTTTGAGTCTGAAGCAGGGAAAAAGATGGGTTTTCTTTACCACTAAACTGCTTCATTTTGATCGGAGTTTATGACTGACAGCCTTTATTGCTTCTTTTTTTTCGGGCGTAACAATAGGGTAAACGATATTCGATGAAAGGCCTTTCGTCATGTTGAATTGCACTGAGTAATGGCGAATGAATGAAATACATGTATATTCTGCCCAAGCATGCCAGGTCCTACTTACAAAGCTCATATCTTTTCATTCGTGTGACTTTTTAGAAAATTCACCTAGGGCAAAGGTATTTTTATTACTCATTAATGAAGCATTAAGGTTTCAGTGTCCATGAGTTTATTTATGTCTAGTATTTAAGGTGGTATGTCTACGGCTTAATTTATTTTTTTATATTTTTTTAGTATTTTCTCTGAATATACGTTTCGTCTAATTCTTAAAGAGAGACGTTATACAAGTTCAGATTGTAACATATAGACACAATTATTATAAGCTATTAGCTTTGTAGCCATGCTAAATAAAAAACATGCAAAACTGTTTTGTTTGTTTTTTGCTGTATATATTTGCTTGCATTAACCATATTACATGGAACATGATTGTTTAAACCCACAGGACTCTTCTGTCCTCTCGCTATGAAGGTTTGCTTGAAACTGGGATCCTGGGTTCGATGCCGTAGTCCTGATTGCGTGTGGGTTTGTCAGCACCATGGGTTTCACCAACGTGGGAAACTACTGACACCTCTATCATTTAGGGGCGGGAGAAGCCTATTGCCTAAAACGTTCGCTCGTCACGCCGAAAACCCGGGTTCGATTCCCCACATGGCTACAATGTGTAAAGCCCATTTCATGTATCCTCCGACGTGATGTTGCTGGAATATTGCTAAAAGCGGCGTAAAAGCACATTAAACGTACACTCCGTGTCATAACTCAAACATTCCCTGACTTTCAAAGGTTTGAGGTGAGATGAGGTGAAATTGGGTTTTACGTCGTGCTTGAGAATATTTCGCTCATATGACGACGCGCATACGTGTGTATGTGTATGTGCGGCTGTTTGTACTAGCCCAGACTTAAGCTGGTTGTATAGTGCTAGCCAACTGAGATACCATGCCGCAGTGAAGCATGAATACCCCACTCGGACACATTATACTGACTCCAGAGCCGACCAGTCCTTGTTGTACCCATTAATGCCGAGCGCCAGGCAGGGACAAACAAGTACCATATTTTAACGTCTTTTGGTATGACGCGGTCGGGGATCGAACCCGCGACCTTCCGGTCTCCGGGCGGACGCTCTAAGCACTACACCACGGAGGAGGTCTTCAAAGGTTTGAACGGTATATTCATTGTCTCCACTGCCGATCACTCTACCCCGAGTCCGGACACGGGAAGATGCGGGTTAGAATTGGTCTTCAGCAACCCATGCTTGTCGTAAGAGGCGACTAACCAGGATCGGATGGTCAGGCTCGCTGACACATGTAATCGTATCCCAATAGTGTAGATAAATGCTCATGATGTTGATCACCTGTTTCCCTGCTATAGGACTCGATTATTTACAGACCGCCGCCATATAGCTGGAATATACTGAGTGCGGCGTTAAGCCACAAACAAACACACCTTGATTCCGGAACAACATGGTATATTGGCTGATTGTATTTCTGTAGTACTGAATATCACACATTAGGAAAATTGACACTCCCTACATTTCATATTTCCGATAGGGAAACATACGAGAGAAATAATCTCTACCAATAATGTCATTCTTAAAAAAATCGATGTTTACACGAAATTTCGCTCAATTTTGTAACTTTGAAACATGTGAACAAAGTGTTTGAATGAACCGTGCAATAGAGGTACAGATTTGCAACATCAACATGGGAAACATCCCATCTTTACTTATTGAGGACGTTTATCAGTGGTATTTGAGCAGGTAGACATGGAATCGATACATGAAGATTAAATGAGTTCCAATCTGATGTCCTCGTTATGCTAAATGCAATTTAACAGCTATATACCTAATAGGTATTTAGTGGGTCCTCAAATAACATTTAATTTCGATTTCGATGGTGTCATTACGGGTGGCCTGGGATGGGTAATTTAAAGTGGGGACATATCAGTTTTACAGTCTGGGTGCCAACAACTATCCGTTGAAACACTCGGGCTCCGTCGGCTTATTCCGCCGCCTATGTTATACCTCGGATAGCATTCACACATTGTAGACCCTGTTACACCAGACACCCCAACGTACACCTTGTAGTCTGTGTGGAACATTAGGTATACACTTTTATTTGAAAAGTACTGCACAATTTGAACAAAGATTTAAGTTTCAAGACTATTGCAGGGTTGTCTTATGTCATGTGATAGTCACGTCGGCAATATGAATTTCCAATGTGAATTTCTCCCAGTGCTACTCGAGGTACCATTGGACCACTGGAGTCCAGACAAGTACCAAGTCGAAAATGACCGAAGGGACAAATTGTCTTTCCATACATTATTTACACGAAGTGACCCAGAAAATGAATATCACTATTGTAAGCTTATATTTGACCATTCGCTTGATCTTATGAAGTCCATCAAATGTGCATTTTGCAGATGAACATCCTTAATGATGTCATGCAATCGGATTCAGATATAATCATCTTGGAGAAACTTAATTCTTTATTTAAATTACAGAATTACATTTAATATGAAATAGACGAGACGGGGAGGATCTTGTGCTAATCATACAAAAAGTCGGGTTCAATGCCTCACGTGGTTGTAGTGCACGAGGGCATTTATGGTATTGTCGGAACATTGCTTAAAACGGCGTAAAACCATACTGATTCTACAATAGTATCCTCTTCTGTTAACATGGACATAATTTACGGAGTTCTGTTCTGGTACGCTGACAAACCAATCACAAGTCTACAGATAAGCTATGAATTTGTTGGTTTCTCTGTATCATTTAACTCGCTAAAGGCAAGTCAAATCTGGAAACGGAGATGGGCCCAGATCCCAACAACTCATATTTTACAGGGCTTGGTTATGTCCACAACTACGAGTTAACTAACAGTAAAAATCAGACCAATTACAGAAACAGTGCCAATACGGAGACAATTACCCGCACCTTGAGCGAGTTACGCCCACACCAAGTCGTGAGAACTCTTGATGCACACAGCCCGGTTGTACTGCCTCTGTGTACTGACTCAACCATTGTCACTGACAGGGTCAGCGAGCCAGGAAACAGGCGTATCACTTTACTGATCAAACTTCGATCAAATGCAGGAAATATTTCTCGCACCCATGTTAAAATGTGTATCAATAGCTAACCGCTGTTCCGGATCGTGGTGTCGTCGCCCTGTGAGGGCAGGGATAGGCTGCTTTACGCTGTCAACCGTTGTAACGATATCTGGCTATATGAAGGCCGGGGGGACAACTTAGGAATAGCCAGCGAGTCCTGACCTGACACACAGAAGGAAGCAAACTACAAAGACATATTTTATATCATTGGAAAGATCTCGAGGAGATGAATCCAAAATTATAATGTGCATGTGTGTTCACGCGTTTATAAGCTCACAAATCGGCTCTGAAAATACATTTCTGCAGAAATTTCTGGCAGGATTTCTTTTCTGCAGAAATTTCTGGCAGATTTTTTTTTCATGCAGTAATATCTACCAGAAGTGTTTTTATTCATTCGTCCTATCTTCGGATAGATTAATATGAATCTTCTTTAAATGATGTTTTATCCCTTAAAACAACTTCAAGCTGGGTTCCCAGAAGAACAATACCGCCCTCAAATCACTAGACATTACTTAACATTTTATTATGAAGAAATAAAGGTGGTGATTTCGTTATTGCCATTCTGTAATACACGTTTCTGTGTGCGAACTTAGAGCCATCTCAGGGCCATGTAGTCAGGGTGTTTTCAGAGATCGTTCCTGTCACAGAAAACACAAATATATTAAAGTTAATGTTAATGTGTTAAGGGACTGGATTCTTAATGTAGGAGTTGATATAGTCAGCTTTACTTACGTTTTCCTCTCAATATGCTTGAAATGAATTCTTTTCTTTGTCATGTCATTGAACGCTATTTTCACATATTCTGAAAACAAAACATGAAACACACATTCAGTCTTTTCATTTCAGGTATAAACACACTCAAAATGCTTAGACACATACAAGACACTTAATAAGAATGTAAGACATGCAATATATTTGAATCATAATTTGAATAAATAA